CAGAAAAGACCACAGTTTATCATGTAAGCTGGAAAGCACGGAATGTGAGAAACATGCCCCAGAAATATGAAAGCAAATTTAAAATGGCATTATCAAAGGCATTCTTTCCACAAGGAGTAAAACACGAATAAAGAGAATCTAGAGGAAGAATTAAATCTAAATGTGCTTCACCACATACAGAAAGGAAGTGGAAATAAAACCCTTATACTACAGTACTGCGTCATGAATGTTATCTTGTTGTAGTAGGGATCAGTTTGTCATTATATATTTTTTTAATATATATTTGAGATTTCTCAGTTTTCTCTGTTCCAGGCTACATCTTCCTTGCTTAAGCTGACAGTGACGGACATGGTAGCAGTAGCTTCCTTCAGGAGTTCTGCTAAGAGTAAAGGTGGAGAGAACAGGCATCTTTACAAAGTTTCAAATGAAGCTGATGCAAATCAAGTGAATTTGTGCTTTATTCTCCTCTGAAGATAGAATAAATTTATTTGGGAGGGGAAGGAAAATCACATCACCTAAGTGAAAAATTAGTTCAGACAACCCAATACAAAAATAACTTTCTTTTTTATGCAACCCCCCCACCCCCCATTATAACTAATTAGAGGGAGAAGAAAAATAATTAAGTCAATCTGTATTATCAAAAAAAAAAAAAAAAAAAAGCATCACTCCACCATAACTTAAGCACTGTATGGGGGTGGGTGAGGTTGGAGAGTAGAGAAAGGAAAACCAACCAGTTTCATTTACATGAGATTTCCCTAAACTGCTGCGTAACACCCCAGGAAATGGTGGCTTTTCTCCCCCCAGAGCTTTCTTTCTGGATCAGGGGAACAACAGCATCTCTCTGTGTCACCTTAGCTTCTGATGCTAGATAACTGTTCCTGCACACTGTTGCCTTTACAGGCGGAGGTTACCGACCACCTTAGCACTGAGCAAGGCACCAGGCAACTCATTTTGGTGACTACCAGGCGATGACAGGAGGCTGCTGCTGCTGCTGCGAGGCCCTTTATCCGAGAAGGTAAAAGGACACGGAGCTGTTTCACTGCGTACAGGGGGTTAGGAAAAATAAATAATAATAATAAAAAAGGTGGCAGTTATCATTTACTAAGAAGTTTGGTAAAAATATTTAAGATTTGGAGGGGCCTCCTGTTTGGAAAGGCAGAGGCCAGTCATACAGAACCACAGACGTATTTTTGCTGTAAGCAAAAGAGGGGGAAGAGGGAGGTGGGGAGAAAGAGGGAAAGAAAAAGAGATCAGCTTATGTATCTAACTGTAAGCAAGGCCACTGCTTCCAGCTGTATGTCACTTTGTCCCCACTTCCCCTCCCAAAACAAACACCACCCTCGAAAAAAAACCAAAACCAACAAAAAACCCCACAGATTTTTGAAAAAAACAAGCAAATATCGCTTACTTCACTAAGCTTTACGTGATTCTGCAGCCTAGAAACATTATCTTATAGACTGATAATAAAATAAGCCCTTTAAAAGGAGAGAGGTACAGAACACGCTGTCACATCCTACAGCATTTCATCCGCCGGCAACGTGTGCGTGGCCTGGGTGGGAGAGCTCGGCGGGGCTCCCCGGCACGGCTGACAGCAAGTCTGTCCCCCCAACACCCCCACTGCCACTGCCACAGG